GCCTTGGTGCACCAGCTTTGCGTCAGCGTCGTTAACACCGTCCTATGTGCTATTCGCATCGGTTTGTACTTCTAGTTAGAAAAAACGATGTCCAGCAACTACGTAGTTTAAAGGCCATAACTTTGGAGTTGCTAGCGGATTGAAAAACAACAGGGACCTTTGATAACGATGCGTAAACTTTGGGGTCCTTATTTTCTGACCACTTTCATCTTGTGGCCGCAATTGTCGTTTGAGAAACCAACAGAAACAGGTCTTCTCTAGTTCATTTACGTCGAACTAAAAGGGGAATCTTGTGTATAAATCATTCAGTGAGATGGGCAAGTAGTGTGTGAGCATCAAAGGGGAATCCAAAGCCAGTTGGACCTGCCTTACAACCAGTGTCCAAAGCTCCATTGAAATGAGTTTCATGTTAACACCATGTATAGAAGATAATAATTCAGCTGTAACACAATTTCAGTGCCTGGCTGCCATACCACCCAAAGAAAGCAAGAGGGCTGGGATACTGCCAGGGTACCCAAGCCGAGACAGGGGAAGTCCAGAGGCAGAGGTCGGGTTCGAACCAGGAATCTTCCGGTCAGTAAATTCGGGCCATCTCGCCCTTACGTGGGATGGGATACTGTCAGGGCGCCCATACCAAGACAGGAGGACGATTAGGGTCCTCAACCAAAGCCTTTGGCTCAAAATCCTAATCGAAAGACAGCGGTCTTTGGCGGCAAATGTACACGCATTGCCATTTCTACGGAACAAATCGCCACATGTTTCAACCCCCAACCTGGAGGACCAAGAGACTGTTTGTCAGACCTATAACCACTGACCAACCTGGTATGAGAGACTCCGTGAATGTCACATGGACACCCTCCAGTATAGCTCAGTGGGTCGATGGGGTGTGCAAGCCGTCACACCTTGGTAAGGTCCAATCTCTTCGTGACGGCGAGCAAACCAAATAACATCTAGGTTACCTGAGCTACCAACTGTCTCCTTTATAGCAGAAGCTTTTCAGTTCGGATGTGTCTGTGGACCGTCGTGTCTGGAGGGTAACAAACCAACGCAAAAAGATAACATGAGTTCAGTGGATATCTTCAACAAGGCGTCCGTGGTCGATGTTTTCGGACTACCAACCCGGCAACTGACTGAGGTCGCCAGGCTAATAGGATAGCTACTATGCTAAACGTTGTTCATTAAATGAGGAGTGGCCTGCGTACTTGTATCACCAATAGCAAGCCACGAGTCTGAATGTGATCATAATCCAACACAAAAGCGTCGAAATAGGATGAAACGCTGAAACGATTTCGGACAAAATGCTTGTGGATGTGACTTTGCCAACATTGTTCCTGTAGGGATCACATTTGCGGCACCACAAAAGGACTAAAGCTAAAGAACACCATATGGATCATATACCTACGCATTTGGGCGAAAAACCTCCTTTTGCGAAAACCGTCCCATATCAGCCCATCGAAAAACGTCATTTTGATGTATGGAGATGAGTCGTTTTACCTACGGTAGTTGTACCCACTGGGGTAATGAGCACCGATAGGAGTCGATTCCAACTACATTTATAGTAATCTAGGTTTGGTGCTGTCCAAATTAGCCAGCATTGTTGCTATTGTGAATGAAACTCGTCGAGGGACCAGCATCGATGAGACACTTTGGGGATCGGGGACTTTTCCCGTGCAGTCTACCGACAGAAAAAAATTCAGACAACAGAGGATTTACCTTGCTTGTTGGAATGACTTTTTATACCACCCAAAGGCAAACACAATGAAAATGGCACATGCACCGGACCAAGATACGCCGACTATCAATTCAGACAGTTGATGTCCTAAGCGCTGTTGATGCACGATCCAACCGGACCAGCGGACTACGCTTGACTGGAGTGAATTTGTTTCGGCCGATATGTGTACAGGAAAGGCAGGATTCGAGAGAGTACGTCACAGATGCATTAGTGACTGAGGGTAATTTGGCCTTCATCGACTTCTTGATAAGTGCTTCAAATTTCATACCGTAGGAGAGTACATTTCCGCTACAAACCATTTTATTGGGTGACAGTCAACCTCACTATGATAGCTCATTTGTATATACATTTGCCATGATGTGTCCACAACTAACATGCATTAGTAACTATCCGGAGCGATTACACGAGGAGAGTAAATTTAATACATTGTGGGTATCCTTTAAGTGTTCTTTATGAGTATACTTCATACCCATGCTATCGTAAATTCATGTCTGAAACACTTGGGAAAATGCTCGATTTCAATCCACCCACTGTTGATGCCTTTGGTTTGAAGGCTCTGCCAGATCAAGGCAAAAAAGTGTTTGAATACTTAGCACACTCGACGACCGTTACAGATGTGTGAAGTATGCATCCAAATTATCGCATACCAAGTTCCCTAATACTTCTAAAGAATCGTTTTCAGGGTGAATAACCGAATAGGCCATATACGGTGATCGACCTCGCTAGAGTGACTATTTGTGTTCGCAAGGAATATCCCGGATCAGTCGCCGCCTATCCCAGTGGAGGTAAAACTTGTTGGAGAAAAGTGCAATGTTCGTTTAGGTCTACGTAGTTAATATGAGGTGGACACTATAAAGCTCAACCCCAAAGAAAGCAAAAAATGCTATCGCTCCAAGAGTGCTCAAACCATAGACGAAACATGCAACAGTATTTCTCCAATAAATCGATTGTTCCGGTATTATCCGCAAGTAGGTAGGATCGATTTGGCGGTCAGTATCTCATGCAAAAAGTCCACGAAATAAATACCTTTCGATCCCGCCTACACATGTCAAATGGGAAAGAAACGTGATCGATAGTTAAGCCCTGACAAAAGGGGCCGGAACAACCAGGTACTTGTGAAAATTCGACTGATTCCCTGAAATCCGCAGAAATCAGTTAACCTGTGGAGTAGACGCGAAACGTCTTACCATGACAAAACGACTAGAAACGACCACAATTTGCATGACTACGCCTGCTCCTGTTGGACTGTAATCTGGGTGAGCTCAAATCATGATGAGACCGGGCAACCAAGAACAAAAGCGCCTATCCATCTGCTAAATACTGAACCTGGAGTGGCTGCAAGACATTGGGTGATAGATCAGTTATCGGCTGATCATAATCGAAAACTGTGGCTGGGAGTTAGTTACGTAGCACGATCGAACAAGGATGCAGCCAAGTCGGTGAGGTGTTTTCAGTCATGTCATTTCTTGAGGTGGTTTATGTGATGTTAGAAACAATTTTGAAGATGCATACGGGATTTGGCTACTCAAAATTCACTAGTGTCCAACTTCAGAGATCAGAGGGGATAACGCGTAGTTTCGTTAGCTGAGGCTATGGGCGTAACGATGGTGTTAATTCACGATACTTCATTCAGATAGCACACAGACGGTCTTCGAACAGTATCAGGTTGAACAGGTAGTCTCTGACATGGCCTAGCATGCACGTTAGAAACAAAGCGCCCAAGGGATAAAATTTTCCCTAACAGTTGCGTTAGAAGCTAAGAAGACACTGTTTATCAGAACTGCCATGCGATTGAGGGGCGACATAACTAGCATATCTGGTTGGCAGTGGTGACATAATATCGCCCCTGGTAGACATCGTCAAATTCCTAACAGAAAAGCAATGGATATATGGCCGTCGTACGGAGTGCGCGCCCAAGACCTAAGATGTTTGCACACATTAAGTTCCGCATCAAGTACTCTTTTCAGGCCAATAGGTTCTATAGTGGCGCGTCACATTTTCATGGAAAGTTGTCGTGACACTACCAAGACCAATAAAAATGGTTAATATTAGACCCAACTACCTCTCCAAAAAGAAATTGCCAAACATTTATTCATTGCACTGTTGCTGCTGCTCTGTGAATAGGAAAGTATAAACAGAGAGGGTATTGCAACAGTCTGGGAGCGAACGGTCGAGAGAAGCTGATCAGAACGACTACTTTGGGGAATCTCGCTGATTATCCGTCATATAAACTAGCCCCAGGGTGTCTAGACCATGATTAAAATGCACGATTAAAACACAAAGAACAATGAACGCAAGCAGAGTTTAAGACTGAGCTCGACAGGTCAGTCGTTAATGCGCAAAGCTAGCAACCGGAATATCCGTCGTTTGACCCAAAACCTGGAGTTTCGATTGCTCCTGTTTGGGCTTGAGCAACATGGCCGCATTCCAGCCCTTGCGTCTTCTTTGAGTTGCAAGGTAGCTATGCACCGAAAGCATGCCACAGCAGTCAAAGGTCTGATAAGTGTTAATACACTGGGTTTGTAGGTCCCGTTTTTTCGCGCTTCTCTTTATTAAATCTAGCCATCTTCAGTCAATTTGGTTCTTCACGGTTGATATCGTAAGGTGTTGAGGCCAGATCAGTATCCAATTACTGTCATGAGTTAACGGTTAGTTGAGCAGCTGTTCAAATTACCCTGTCCAGCACTTTATCTTCCCGCCGAGCAGAGTAATCCTGACGACAGTTCCGTAGGCCATCTGTTGAGGTCCATGTTTTAATTCAACTCGCTCAACTCGAGCGGTGGCCTGTGACTTGATGGCACCTGTCAGTATTAATATGCCTTTCTGCCTTGAAACGCCTCGGGAGGACCACATGAACTCAATTCAGTTACTCAAAGACGATTGTGGACATTCGTATTACACGTCAAGTGTGTCGTTTAAACTGACTTAGGGACAATGATTCTCATGAGACCGGGGCCAACCAGCCATTGTAACTCGATGCAGAGTGACTGTTACAATCACAAACCTTACCACATCCATAACAGAGCGACAGGCAGCCGTAGCTAAAGAGCGGACTTACTGGCAGCAAGGTCCCTGGTTTGAACCCAACCTCTGCATCCCCACTGCTCCTGTCTGGCAGTATTTCGGTCCTTGCGGTTCCTTCTGGTGGCATGGCAACTAGGCATCGAAAGGGTGTTCGCTGCAGCTAAAAGATTATTTCATTTTTACATTCACTACATGTCTACTGCCCTCAATATTATTGCGACACCCAAGCTAAGCACGCGGGATGAGAGAACGTCACACGGGATTCCGGTGAGGAAGACTGCATCACCACATTAAAAACAGTGGTCCATCAGCGCCACGGATACTGTCGAACAATGGTGCTCCATCTGAAAGTGGAATTCGACTGAGAAGACATATTGATGCTTTGAACTATAGTTTGCAAACATCCACCATGTACTCTATTCCCACTCTCCCAATCGCGCAGAGCAGTCTAAACATTCTTCCACAACCAACGAGCTTCGTTATGGTTGTCCGCCCCTGTTGTTCAATTTTGTCATTGACATCATGAGGCAGCTCATAATCGAAGGAAATATACAGCCTAGGTATCGAAATAACATCGGAGAAAAAGATCAATACGAGACAAATATTTTTGTTCCATATCACACGATATTATAACTATTTGTTGTGTATATATTTTCCTTCCCGTTCCAGCTACTACTATTGGATTTATGTTGAATAAAGCCCACCCTTAGGATTTTCCTTCCTTCTTGAAATACGCGATAAATACTGGTTACCTCTTTGTGTTCGTAGAAATTGATTCAACGCACGATTTCGTCCTGACAGATCGATTCGTTCATGAAAACACGTATGCACTCGACACAATTGATTAATGGAGCCACTAGTTCCACACATACAGCTATTTTCTAGCCTACTTTCAGTCACACACAAAATAAACTCGAATTTCAGTGCCAAGTGCACCACATATGAACAAGCCGCCAAAACACTAGAAGCTCTATATGTGACCATCGATAGTGAATTTTATCCCGAAATTTGTTAAATGCTCGTAAACAGCAGTCTTGATCAATACTTCTAGAAGCTGCGCATTCCTACATTGGCTGTATCAGAGGGTATGGAGTAGAATTCGTCCGGATGAGGTTACAAGGGGTGTGGTTGTCACTGAGATTCACTGACTACATTCGTCAGAGATTACCAGTGTAAAACGCTGACTGTGCGAAGCTGTTGAGAAGGTGAAAGCACTGGTGATGGTGCACAATTAGTCTCTGTCTTACAAGGCGATTTCCACATCCACTGCTGGCGGTGCGCTTGGAGCTCAAACTGCTTTGCAGATATACTGCGGCGGGCAAAAGTAGTAAGTTTTTTCTGAAAACCCCACACACGGCTAGAAATCTTATGCAAACTTCGTGGGGAAAAGGGACATTTGCAGAAAGTATCGTTCAGAAGTTCACTGTAAACCAACAGTCTCTGTGAGTAAGCCTGTTATGTCCGCTCACTACTGCTACAGCCCATGTGTGCCATTAAGACGTAATCGGTGACATTCTTGTGAATACGGTTCCACTGCATGCGCTTTTTGGCAGAGAGGTCCGAAAGTTACTGGTTTGTCTCCACTTTCCGGAGACAAACGCAAATATAGTTGGCCAACACGCATCGAGCAGACAAGTCCTGAACACTTTAGCGCAAATAAAACTTGAAAGTTACGTTTATAACGAAGTCAGATTATCCATTCTTCCCATCTTTCTGTTGACGTACTCCTTGACCATGACTTTCTAAATATACATCAGTGTTTACAGATACTCACTGGACTGGGCACGGAAAACAGGTCCATTTTCGGAAAACGACGGTACGGTACACGCAATACATTACCACACCTTTCGGCACTGGACAGATTTTTCGACTGAGGTCCCCGATGTACAGCCGAATACTCGTTTTTTAATTCCGCATTACAGATTTGCCAAAACCAACCTAAATGAGCTACGGTCCTGAGACAATAGCTGTCCAGGATTTGAGGCGACTACAGTGACTACATGTCCAAGAGTATAATCTCACGCTTTGTAGCCACAAAGCGCACGTCAAAGAACTGGACAATTTCGGTCAGTCCATCCAAAAAAAACTTGTATCTTCTGCTTTCCAAAGACGAGAACGTTATCGCCCGCATATTCCATATCGATATGGATTTCATCAGCAGCTACTTGAACACCAGGATATTGAAGGACTTCCAGTGTTTGTCTCATCTCGTCGAGGACAACACCGAATTAAAAATGCAGAGAGTGGGCAAATATGTCGGTATTCTGCTTGTTGCCCTCAAGGGTCCACTAGCCACCTTAAGGCGACGGAGGACAGGTGACACCAAGAGTTTCGTTACGCCTGGAATAAGGTGATCCCTTTATGATTGCCGACCCCTGTACATCCCGTCACAGTGGCCTCCGGATAGCCAGAGTATGTGGAAGAGGGTGGTCTGCTTTCCATCACCTGCCATGTTGTGTCCAGCGAGTGAGCTAACCCGGCTGGGGGCACCGCAATGGCTAATATGGCAAGAAAATATTTCTAACTGTAGAAATCATGGTACGACAACAGCCAGTGGTGTGCAGCGTCAACTCTCCTAGCCTCGCTGACGAATCCTCGCTCGTCGGAACACCGGCACTGCTTTATTCGAAATACCAACCGGTCTTCAGAGAACGGTTAACGCGCTAACCAAAATACGCGTTCCGTGCAGCCGCATTAACGTGAGAATCTGGCTAATTCCTATGATGTACTCGCCACCACGAAATGTATCTACCACCTTATTCAGTAGAAGACGATAAACTGTTCGCTACCGACGTCACCGACTGCCACTGGAGAGGTTATCTACGTAAATCCAGAGCATATCAGAGGGTCGTGCATACAACCAGTAGCACTCAAACCAGTGCGTACGTTGTGGTGTGCGTGGGAAGTCCCTCGTTTCGCGGACAGGAAGACAAAGGAACCATCAAAAACGTATGAAACCAAAAGGGTGCAAGTGCAACTTGGTATTTCTTTTGCTTTGTGTCCTCCGTCCCTGATCCTCCTAACGCCCACCGGCTATGGCATCAGTTAGACTCATCAACTTGCTGCATCCTGTTATCCGCTAATCTTGGTCCATCCATCCTCCGAATATGTTTAAGTCACCTCTTCACAGCTGAAGGTTAAGCAAACCCATTTTTCGTTCTCGAAAACACCTAGCTGTTATCTCCAGCCAAAAGCACCCTCCCCACCGCCGAAGTACAGTTGTCTTCGAAGGACATGAACCCACTGCGTTCCGTTAGAGGGAATGGTCATTCATACCTCGTCTGCGTCACCACTAGTTAACCGATAGGCTTTATCACCCAGCAATTTTGTCCCATTGTTCAACTAGCTATCTGGCACACCGTCTGACTCCCTGGCCAATATGGGAGCTGAAAACCAAAATCAACCCGTCAGTTTCTGATCCAGAAACGACAATGAAACCCTGCCTTCTGTTCATCATCATCATCATCGACAGCATGACATCAGTGTTCAACACCGATACTTCACTGCCGTACAACCATGACTTATTTGAAAGCCTTATTGTAAAGAAAGGAGGCGATCTTTTTCTGACTCTTTTTTGTCGCATTTTTTCACATGCTCCTACACTTTCTGCAATCAGGCTTGTCGGGAGTTTCGCCCACCAGCCTTCTCCATCAAGGTCTGTGTAACCGCACACTGACATTGCACCTCAATATGATTGAACTGACTTTGAACTGCAATCCACAGCCGTCCACTGATCTAGCCTAGTCTTCGGTTCGGCGAGATGGCCCCAGTGGTTAGAGCGCGAATTTACTGACCGGCAGGTCCGTGGTTCGAATCCGACCTCCGCCACTCGACTTCCCCTGTCTAGGCTTGGGCAACCTGGCAGTATCCCAGCCCTCGTGCTTCCTTCGGGTGGCATGGCAGCTAGGCACCGGAAGGGTGCTACAGCTGAACGCTTTCTTTTCTTCTTCGGTTCGGCAGGTTTTCAAACCACTTAAGCAAGGGTCAGTCGAACGTCCATAGAGCCATGGCACATAAAATCCCACCTCCCAAGACGCCCCACAATCGGAAGATTTCGTACCGTTACGTTTGACTCTCCGAATGCCTCTCAACCAGTCCACAGTGAATGCTGCCCTCCGGTTATTTTGCGGCATCGAGCGGATGATATGATGTGTTGCTGGAGTCACCCACGTGCCAATATCAGCCAAGCTTCTTTGGCACATATATGTGCGATCTTGGACGGGTACGACAGCCGACAAGGCATGATGAATCGCTCCAACGCAATAAAACGATCCTAAGGTACTATGAGCGTCATTACCGACAGTTCGGCAGGCTGCTAGGGACTCTGATACACTGAACAACGCCGGGCAGTTCTTCATTCAACGGTCCTTACTAACAGCACCTTTCCACTCTTCGAATGCGCCCGATCCATCTGCTAGTCTATCAATCACCGCTCCGTGTCTAAACTATCGCCCGAGAAAAAATCACAAACCCAAACCATCTGACTCAAGTTACAGCTTCCTCAAGTTGAACTACAAACAGCTCTTGTTGCAACTTTGCTTGCCCTTCATGTCGACACGTGTTGCGTGTCCAAAACGTACATAAAAGTTCCCACCTCGGTCATACACTTCAAGCCTCCTGGGATGGGCTGACATTTTTCGTATTTCGCTCTTTGGGTACCTGGTGATGCTGAGGCACTTCCTCGCGGTATTTACCACGGGAGTTGCACTCAATTTAATGACTGAAAACGCTTTTCAGAATGAATTTCATATGACAGTCGTGTTAGTGCTGTGCGGTTATCTGGTTCAATTAGGACCAATGTAGGTCGATGCAGTAAATGATGCTTACTTGTCGTGTCAGCATGCGCTCCGACAGACCATATTTCTGATGGTAGATTTTAGCGATATCTTTCACAAGAAAGATGAATACCGTCATGCTGGTGGGTGATATGCACACACAAGTAGAAGCACGAATCCCAACTGGGCGTTAGACTTGGAAACCCAGTGGACAAATAATGGGAGTCAACTTCTTCAGTCGTGTGCTAAAATTCGTCTGTTCCTGGCTATTTCAAGCTTTCAGTAAAAGCTCTTACATCGGGTTAGCTGGAAGCCACCAGCCCCAAGCCAGTCATAGACTCAGTCGTATCAAGTGGCTATCAGTTTTCGGAGACTTAATTATAGATGACTGATCCTTCTTGGGTGCACAGCTTGATTCCAAATATGCTATTGTGCGGGATTCGTTATCGCTTTGCTTTCATTAGCATTACGCCTCCCGAACCAGAGCAGTTCCGCTATCGATTCGAGAGTTCAGTTAAGCAAACATTATCTGGCTGGAAAGCTATTGGAAGCGCACAATCGAGTTGATGGAGACGTGGTCGGAGGATGAATGGGAGCTATGCCCTCAGCTTTTAGGATGGCTGTCCGAACTGGTTGATTTAACCAAATGAACACCGGACTTCGTCCATATATGCTAACCATATTATTGTTAGAAAGACCATAATAATAACGACTAGCCATGATGGCAAACGCAGCTCCCGCGAGCACCGGATAACTAGGAGGCTGGAAGCCGAGGCGATGCGAAGACCCAGGATATGGAAACGGTTTTTGCTGCAAGAAACAGCTGCACTCAATTTTAACTGACTACCAACAGCCCACAAGCAAAAAGTGTCAGAGAAACAACTCATCTGCGGAATCGTCAGTGATGGGCTGAACGCCTTAAAAAAGAATTCAGCTGGCTTCCCTCAACAAAAGAGCTAAAAGAATCCAGAGAACCCGAAGGAAACACCGAAACTAACCCAACATCAAAAACAGCAACCCATCACGATATTTCACTCCCCCAACGTGAAAAACAGAATGGACTAGAACAAGCACTTTTAAAAGTGGTTGAAACCAGTGGGTGGTTTGACGACGCCACTTGATTACAGCAAAATCGCTTCCAATGTCCGTTTACAACTCCCTAGCCTTCCACTTTTCGGCGGTCGAAGTTGGGGCGGTTGGAACTAATATACCCTAGGTGCCTAGCCTATAGTTGGCGAATAGAGAACACCGAGCACAAAACAGATACCAGGCTGGGAGTATCCAATATGATGTACTATCCATATAACAGGAACAGTTGCAAAGAATACTAGTGAACACAAAACAGCGCCAAGGGTTTTCATATTATTCGGGACTTACTCGTCTCCTTCGACGCAGGACCCAGTGGTCTCATCGTACTTATCACAATACACGTCCGGATTATAATTAAATGTCCCATCAGGTCTCTTAAAAGGCCGTCTTCTTTTCTGATTCGGAAAATGCCAGTGAAAACACGTGTACGGACGATGAAATTGGCACTGTTGTTCCAGAAATAACATGCACTGCTGAGTTCGGAATTCATTCAGGTACCTAAAGTGTTAGCATGCTGCAGAAGGACGTACCTGATATGTCTCGGTTTTTCTTGACGTACACTGTTATTTTTTGGACACAGCAGCAGCTGAACTGCGTCATTATTAGTCACCATGATCATAATCCCAGTCCATCTACAGCATAAGCGAAAAAAGCGGCGAAAATCACGCGGCCCGATAGGGGATGACCTTGGTCCCAAGGTAAAGGTTGGTATGAACTCTGTTTAACGTACAAAAAGAAACAGTGGGTTGACTGACCGACGGTTGCCCGTGTTCCAACCGAATATCATTCTGCCAAATAAATTGGCGAGTGGCGAACCGACTTGCTAGTCACATTGATTACGAATCCCAAATAGGTTATAGTTTAAACTGACATGGTGAGTATCTGGGAGTGACTTGTTTATTTTATGCGGAAAACACTATACAGTATCAAGCTTTGATCATTAACAACAGCACTGAAACGGCACGTAGGCTGTATGGTGGCTATTTCTTCTAGAACGTCGTCCATCGGTGATCTAGGATGATAACGGTTGGTAGCCGCGCACTAGGGTCAAATGTTGAGATCGTTAACACGTGAGCTGATGGGTGATGCTAGGGTTTTCGTTGAAGAGATTGGATCCACACGTGCCATTGAGCGCGTTTAACTTCTCTAACAGCCCGATGTTCCGTCCTAGGGTCCATATGGGAAGCGCAACCCAGGCTAGCCTAGCTGAGTATAACGGTACTGGTGTTCAAGTCCCACTGCAAAGTCACTGCTTGAAACTCTCTGGTTCATTGCCATCCTCTGAGTGGTTGTGCATTCACGGATTCACGGATTCACGGATCAATACACAGGATCGAGGCATT